AAAAAAAAAAAAAAAAAAAAATTCAACCACTCAGAGCGAGCTTCCGTCCCAAGAGACAATGAAATTGCACGGACGCAAATCAGTCATGTTTCAACACTTTTTCATTGCTGTGAGCGGCACTCTCATTATACTCGTACAAACCAAGAAAGAACATTTTTTTTAATCGATTTGAGTAACGTTGTGTAAAATTCATTCGGGCTTAAATTTGAATTTAACAATATTTTCGAGTAAAATAGGGGCAGAACATTTTTCTGAATGTTATAACTGATGATTAATAACACTGATAGCTACAAAACGGATAATTTTAATTTACGTGGAGTTGTAAACTCCTCTTAAAGACCGAGGCTGTCCAAAAAATGGAGCATTAAATTACAATATTTCGAACTATGTGAATATCAAGACAGTTTATAGTTGTAAAACAACGAACGAGTCACAGCTTGTGAGCTTGGAATCGAATTTAAGCGTTGCATATGTGTTATAGCAAAACACAAATTGAGAGGGGATGATAGTAGTATTTATCTCTATAGAGGTTGGTTTACCTTTCTCGTCTGATGGTCACATACTGGGGTTTTTCTTTTCGACTCGCAGCGCTCAGATCGGGCTTCAAACCCTCATTTTGTGGTCCTGGACCGTTTCTAAATTTTGACTGATACCTGGAAGAGAAAACTTAAAATGTGCATTAAATGTGCAATGATTATTAACATACCTAAATACCGTAACATCAATCACGCAACCATAATAAAACATAATTTCACCCTCATACTTATATGAAAGTTATACACTTTCATACTTATGTTTATATGCTCCAGTTCATACGAAATACACGCATCATACTGTATCTTAATAATATTTTGGTAACATTCTGGAATATTCAAATGTAGGTACCCTAAATTCACCCTCAAAAGACAGTCTTAAAGTCCGAGGGGTGAATTCCGAACTTTACAAATCATTATGGGCACGCCTTACCTTGGGGTAGCTGTGTTGAGAACTTTGTTGTACAAAGTTCGACTGATGGCAGGAGTTGTAACATCTGAATTATGGCCACTCTCCAGATTCAATTGCTTCTCTAACTCTGCAACACCTCCTGTATCAAGAAATATATTATGCATCAAAGACTGAGTCAATATAATTTTTTTCGTACACTGACTTCTTAGAAAGAGAAATGGAGTGAGATAATTGTGTTAGGATAAAATAATAGTTAATTAGTGATTTTATCACATTCATCTTCGCGTGTACCAAAATGTAAGTATTACATTTTTGAAAAATTCTTGTTTATTATCCTCTCATTAAATATATCAAATAGTTCTTAGAATTGCCGACATTTGACATTTTCATCAGAGAAAAAATTGCGGAGTTAATATTATTTGTTTTTAATCCAGAATGAAGAAAATAAAGGTTATTGACACCTGCTCTTCGGCCGAAAAAGAGCCGAACTAATTAACTTGGCGCCTTTTCAATGTTAACGCCTAAATGTAACAAAGCCTGCCTTGTAGACCAATAGGAGCAACACCTTAGTAGCAGATCTCAGCTTTTTTTCAGCAAATTTTATGAAGAGGGATTTCCTGCATCAAAAACAAATACGAGGCGAAAACTAGGAAAATATTTGTTTAGTTTTTTTGTCAGTTATACCTAATTTTTTAATCAAAGAAATCAACTGCTTGATAGCTTTAGGATCTTCTTCTGCACTGTCTGCATATTCCTCCTCCTCCTCGATCTCTTCGACTGGCGGAGCTTTTGTGGTTGTAGTGGTGGTGGTGGTGACCGTGGTCGTCAGTCGGCTGCCAGTTATTTTTGAAGGAGCGGTTGTGACTTTGCTCGCTGCACTCGTAGTTTTCTCAGTGGAAGATGACTTTTTGTTACACAACACATTGCGTGTGTAATCGCAAGAATCAGCTGCTTTGTTGAAGAATAAACCTAGAGAAAAAGAGGAGAAACTCTAAATATTATATGCCTTTCTTAGACAATTTTTACATAACATAAGTTAGTTTTCAATTTGTTACAGAAGAGGCCGTCCCTAAAATACGTAACGCTCTACGTGGGAAGGGTCTAGGAGAGCGTTACGTCACATTTGGACTGCATTTTGCAACCATTTGCATTTTTTTTGCATTTTTTTTTTTTTTTTTTT